ATCACATGGTAACTCTACCTTTAACCCTAAGGAGAACTGCCTATTTTTCAAAGTGGTTGTACCATCTTACATTTCCATCAGCAATGTGTGAGAGTTCTAATTTCTATATATTGTAGCCAGTATTAACAGATATAAAGTGGTTTCTCACTGTGGTTTGATCTTAATTTGCATTTCCTTGCTAGCAAATTATGTTGAACATGCTCTTTTCATGTACTTACAGGCCATTCCACCACATATCTTCTTTGAAGAAATGTCTCTTCAGAACCTTTACCCAGTTTTCAATGGCTTGTCTTTATTACTAAATTGTGATAGTTCTTTATTCTGGATACAAACCTGTTATATGATTGCAAATGTTTTCTCCTATTCTGTGGGTTATCTTTTCATTTTCTTCATGGTGTTCTTTGAAGCATAAAAGTTTTTAATTTCCATCATGTCCAATATATCGGTATTTTTTTTTTTCTTTTGTTTGTGCTTTTGGAGTCATATTTAAGGCCACTGCCTAATCCAAGGCCATAAAAATTTGCCTGTCTTCTTCTAAGAGATTTATGTTAATAGTTTTTGCTCTGACATTTAGGTCTCTGAGCCATCTGGTCCACCTTCAGTTTTTCTGTGTGCATAACCAGTTCAATCAGCACCATCTATTGAAAACTCTTCTTTTTCCATGGAATTGTCTTGGCACCCTTGTTGAAGATCAATGGGCCATAATTGTGAGTGTTTATTTCTGGACTCTCAATTTTATTCCATTGATCTATATGTCTATCCATATGCTAGTACCACACTGTCTTGATTTGTACTAAGTTTTGAAACCAGGGAGTTTATGTCTTCCAACTTTTTCTTTTTCAGGATTGTTCTGGATATTTTAGGTCCTTTCAAGTTCCATATGAATTTTGTCAGCTTGCCAAAGAAGCCAGCTGAGATTATGATAGGGACTGTACTGAATGTGAAGGTCAATTTGTGGAGCACTACTATCTTAGCAATATTAAGTCTTCCAATCCATGACCACCAAATATCTTTCCATTTATATGGGTCTTTAATTTCTTTCAACACTGTTTTGTAGATTCCAGAGAAATAGTTTTATGCTTTGTGACTAACTTTATTCCTATCTATTGAATTGTTTTTATGCTATTGTAAATGGGATTGCTTTCTTTTTCTTTTCTTTTTGAGAGACAGGGTTTTGTTTTCTTATCCTGGCTAGAGAGCAGAAGTGCCATCTTGGCTCATTGTAACCTATGCATCCTGGGCCCAAGCAGTCCTCCTGCCTCAGCCTCCCTAGTAGCTGGGACTACAGGCACATGCCACCCTGCCTGGCTAATTTTTGTATTATTATTTTTTCTTTTTGAGACGGAGTTTCGCTCGTTACCCAGGCTGGAGTGCAATGGCGCGATCTCGGCTCACCGCAACCTC